GTACGAAATGTAGGGAATACACATATACACAATTTAAATAAAACAAGTATACAAATAAATATACTAATGAAATAATGCTCCTAGCTGTAATAAAATGGCTTCAGCTTAAATGTAAGGAAAGGAATACACAAATTAGAACCAAAAACCAGTGAAGAAAAACAAGAAAAATCGCACATGCGATTATGATTTTATTTGACCTTGGAAACTCTATAAGGAGTTCTGATTATGGTTTTATTATAACTGTTATTATATTTATTAGCTGTTTTTTATATTGTAGTTCGGTTGGATATTTAATGAGAGTTTCTGAATATTTAGATATATAATATTTGGGATTTAGACTACAATTTTAGCTTCGATTCCCCAACAATTCCAATATAAGGTTTACATCTAAGTCTATTTGACTTTGTTTTAAATGCACTCTACACGTATAAGTGAAGGCTTAAAATTCCATATTCTTGATCGTATCAACATTTGTATGTAAACGAAATTTCTTTCAGCACTGCAACCTTCACTACATTGATGCCAACTTTACAAATACTTCATAAATTTAAGTTTAAAAATATAAATGTATAAGGAACACTTTTGAAAATAATTATTTTAACAATCTTTTTTAAAATTTTAAAATAAAACATTACCCAAATAATGGGACACAATGCACATCCTTGTGAGAGCTTCAACTGAAATTTCCTTATATAATTAGCTCCTCCCCTATGTATGCCCAGAAAATGGCTAAGCAATGGCCTCTCACTCGCACCTACAGATCAGCTGCCCATTCCATAGGCGATATGCGTGAGTGCAAAAGAGAAGCAGTATAACGTGTGCCCACGTTTCAGAGCAACGCAGCTTTTGTCAGCATACAATACTTGGGAACTTTTAGCGACAGCGCATACCACCACCAAGGAAATTTCCCTAAGCGAGCACACAAGCCCTCTGGTTCGTGTGTCTGCGCTTGCATATTCCAAGACACAATCCACAATCTGGGCGAACGATCGTTAACTAAGAATTGCCTTTTTCCGGTACAGATTAGCGATTTAATTGCATTCGCACCTCTAATTTTACACTTTGAGACTGGACTGGGAAATACTTTTAGCTAAATTCTTTGTTTCTATACAAAAAAGGGAACATTTCGAGCAAAGGTTAAAAGTGAGAATTTAGATAATCACAGAAGAACGTTTGGCAGACGCCATCCATTACATTATATACTCCACTGTATTACTATGTTTTTACTAGAAATACAAGAATTTACAACCGGAAGACCTTGGTTGCTCCGACTTTAAAATAACATTGCAATTTTAGGTTTAATTCTAAGTTGCAATAATGTACAAAAATAAAAGATAAAAGACTTCATGGCCCGATTTTAAAACCTGGAACTAGAAATAATATTATTGAAAAAAAAAACCACAAAAGTAAAGCAACACAAAAGAACTTTCGTCTGTAGTTAATAAGTCCTGCGAGTTCTAATTTCTGAAATGTTTCTTTAGCAACAAACGATAATTGGTTATGGAAGCAATTGATAATACTAATTGTTCCAGGTTTCCTTGCATTAAAAAAATAATGTTTCATTTGGCATAACAATAATTCATGTAAAGTCCTCATAAGCCTATCATTTCTTCACTTGTAAAATCATGTTGAGGATTTAAATTGAAATTTAAATGTACTTGTAATTATGGACAACACTGAGACACACAAATTTATGATTTTCCACAATATATCCAAGGAAAACAAAATAATTTATAAATTTTCAATAATTTTTCAAATTCCTTAGCAACTGCTTCCAAATGCCAATGTCTAGTTTTTGCAAAATTATTGGTGTCTCTTTTCTGGCACTCAGAAAATCATTTATAAAGAATTGTTTATAATAAAACTACGGATTGAAATAAATGTTTAGCCAACTTTATGCAATTAAAGCAGGTATGTATATATATGTATATATGTATGTATATACATATATTAGAGGAATTCTGGGGCTACTTGCGTACGAGTATAAGTTTAACCTTTGTCCTTTTCCTGATCGATTGAAAAATACACAGCAAATTTAAACGAATCACATAATTGTATAGTTATATAAAACTACCAAACATGTTTGTATTTATAAATGAATTAAATTCTTTTAAAATATTTGAAACCATTATCGTATTTTTAAAGCTGATATTCTCATAGAGAACTAATATTGTAAATGGCTGCGCTCTGATGATTTGTTGCATTCTAATCCTCCCCTGAAGAATTGTTTATTTGATAAATTTTTAACAATAATACGCAATAAACAACGAATAAAAAGAATTATGTTTACTATAAACAGCAATAAAACTATTTTAGGACACGCTACTATATTCAAAGCACAAAATGCGAATATTTGAGGCAACAAACTGCCTAAATAATACTGCTTATTTTTATTTTGCGTTTTTGCGTGCGCAGAAATGCATTTTAGTGCGTTCTTACAAGTATAGTCTAGCTTTAGGGTAAGAACTTTATCGTTGAGTGTATAGCGGATCTCTTTTATTAATAAGAAAGCACGATTTGGCGCGATTAGGGTTTTCAAATCCATCCATATCTTTCGTGCTCGCACGACCCTTATCACCGCTTCAGAAATGGCTCTCTTGCTGCGACTGATCGGCGCAGCCTTCGAGTGGCTCCAACAACTCCGACGCAACGCCAACGACAACGACAACGCCAACGCTCTGACAGCAGCGTCGCAGTCGGCGCTAGTTAAACTACTACCTGCCTGCGTCGCCTCTGGCCGACTGAGTCTGAGTGTGCTGCGCAGTTCGCACTCAGTTCAGTAGGTTTTGGTCGGTCGTACGGTCTAGTAGCGCTCAAATCGCTCTGCGTTTACGTGAGTGTTTCTATGTGTGTGTGTGTGTGTGTGTGCGTGCTAAATTCTAAACAGCAGCAACAAAAAAGTTGTCGGAATTTGTATTCCATATGTGCAACTATTTACAATAAATACTAAACCAAATGGAATAGGGTTCAACGGTAAATTGTGCAAATAAAATACGATCCCGCGTGAAACAACAACACAAATCTTCATATGTATATGAAAAATGCATTTAACAAATTGCACTCCCTCTCTCTCGCTCTCTCTCACTCAATGCAATGCTGCTGTTGTTGTTGTTATTGTTGCTGTGGCGCATGTAAAGAGCATGCGATTGACATTTGAATATGACTGTTGTTGTTGTTTTTGTTGCTGTTGCCTTACGTGCCTTAATTTATGGCATAGAGTTAATAAATTAAAGCATTTTAGTTTGCTGCTTTGTTTTGTTGTGCTTGTGTGGTGTGCATTAATTAAAAGCGTGTAAAATATAGCGAGCAATTTGATTTCATTTAGCATACGTCGTCAAAACGATGCTTTGTAAGAGAGCGCGAGCGCGAGCGCTGCGGGAAGAGAGAACGCGAAAGTGCGAGCGAGCTTGGCATGACGCATTTTAATTTATGCGACATTTGGCTTAGTTTTCTTGTATGCCCTGTACCCGGGGGAAGGAGGCGTGACAGACTTATCCTCAATCAGAGCGAGTTATTATTTCCTATAGGAGCGATCGGTGAAAAACTTAAATTTGGTAGAAAAACAATTTTTGAAATAATGTAAAGTTCCATTAAAAATGAAAAACTGTCTTGGAGAGAGGGTGTTCGAAAGTCGTGCTGACGTGACTTTTGCGTTATATTCTTTTATTTTTTTATTTGTCTAGCTTTCGTGGCGTTCTTAAGCTTGACAAATTAATGAAATTAATGAAATGAAATCAAAAGCTTGCCTTGCAGAAGCGTTTAATGCAGCTTATTAATTGTCTTACTGGTGCTATTGAATTTTCCATTTCCGAAAGTTGTGCAAAAAAACGCCGACAGATTAGGGGCTGGCAAACGTTTTCAAGCACAGCTGGTTTAAAAATATTTTTTAATAACAATTCTTGCCATCGCCATAGTTTTTAGTTTCGCTGTTTTTTTTTTGTTTTTTTTTATTTTTTTGTTTTATTCATTTGTTGTGCTGTTCGCCACACACTCGCACACATTTTTCCATTTTGCGCTCATTTCGCTTTGGTTTCTGCCTGGCAGGCGGCTCGACGATGTCGTTTCTGTTATTTCTGCTTTAGCGGCTGGCTGGTCGTTGTTCTTGTTGTTTGTGTTGTTGCTGTCCGTCTATTTTTAGTAACAATATGTGTTGTAGTTGTTGTTGCCTCCGCTGCTTCTGCTGCTGCTGCTTCTGCTGTTGTTCAAGTTAACTACGGTACGCTACGTTGTCTGTGCGCTGACGCCAGCAGCGACAACAGCAGCGAGCAGAACACGCTGGCCAACTACTCGACGACGGAGTAGAGCGCACGCTCAGGTGATAACAATATACAAAAAACAAAAAGAAAAAAACTTGCTTGCTGCTGAGCGGCAAAATTGAGAGAGAGAAAGAGCGCGACACAACAAATACACTTGTTGCTCTCAGCAACTTGTTGCGTCTGTAGGCAGCAGGGATAGCAATACCAACAACAACAACAAGACCAGCGCCAACGTGCGTGCGTGCTCAAAACAACAATAAAGTCCAAAGTGTCTTATAAAATACAATTTTAATGTGTCAATTTCTGTACATATGTGTACTTGAATTAAACAGAAAAGTGCAGCAGCAGCAACAACAAGAACAACACCCACAAGTTCCAAAGTGCATGCAAACTGCACTCAGAAAAAAAATGTAGAAAATCGCTCTGTATAGAAACAAGTGTGTGTTTTTTTTACATTATTGGATGAACTTTGTACGGGAAATTGGCAAAATATTTCAGAAAATATAAACTAAACAGTAAACAGAACAACAACTACAAATTCCACAGTGACAGCAAACTGCACTCAGAGAAAAAATTACCGACATATGTATGCTCTTTAAAAACAATTGCACGCAAATAGGCCTTGGGAAGGTTTATTTAAAAATCAAGTGTTCTTTTAAAATATTTTGTTATTATTATTCTAAAATTGTTGAATCAGTGCCGCGACTTAAGAAAATTATGTCTTACTAGAGTTTTTTTTATTAGTTTAAAGGATATTCTGTAAAAGCTGTAAGACATTTTTCGGAGTGCATCTCAAAGCAACGCACACACAACTTTAACAAACGACGCAACTGAAACGTCAACGACGTCGCCTCGCTCTGCATGCCTTAATTTTGTGTTTCCTGTTGTGCAGCAATAACTTAAAAAAAAGAAAAAGCAAAAAGCAATAATAAACAAGCAACAAGTGGGAAAAGACTCCAACGCAGCAGCAACAGCAACAAAAACAACAACCACTTTCTACTCTCCCAAGGCGGCAACAGAAGAAGAGAGAGAAAGAAGCAAAAGCCGGCAGGCAGCAAACAGAAGAGCGCATAAAGAGAGTAAAGGCAGGAGAGCAGCAACCACTTACACGCACGCCTCTCTATTCTCTATTTCTGGTTGATATTGTGGAAAATTTTTGAAAGATTGTTTACAACATGTAAGTACTATTCGAATTACTTAGGCTTAAGGATAAGTTTCAGTTACATTTGCTTATCACAGCCAGCAGACGCCAACACCTACGCTTCAAGATTGCACAACTACTCGTATAATATTCATATACAAGTATTTGTCTGCGTGTATGAACACCCAGCCCTCTATACGCAAACATGCCCTTGTACTTGCATTGAATAATCAATGAGGCCCAGCAAAAACTTTTTTTAGCCGTTGCATTACTTGCATAATCATGAAGACTTCAGTTATAGCGCCTCGCCATACATGGCTAAATACTGTCAGTACCCCCGCTTAATGGATTTCATGAAGAGCTGTTAAGTTCATAGCAGAGTGTCGATTCTAAATTAACTTATAAACAGGAATATGCTAAATATGTAAATAAATAACTGCCAATCGATTTAGCTTCGTAATTGTAGCTCTTTCCTGTGCTTATATGTGATATCTCGTCTTTGTGTTTCCGAGAATCACAAATAATGGAATATATACGTAACTATATGTTCTTCGTTATTTTAAAATTGAAACACTTCTCTGTTTTTTTTGATGAGTACATTATAGCAGTGGTTCATGCTTGCAATTACAAGAAATCTATATAGAATCCACTTTGAAACTATGTACATATATTCCAGAGAATCAAACTTGAATGTGAATAGATTTGAGAGAGATCAACAAAATTTAGAAATAATGTAAAAACGTAGGCATTTCAAATTCACACTTCAAAATGAATCGAATTTAATTGCTTTTCAAGTTTTTACTAAACGAAGAACAGTGCGCTTCTAGAAAGAAACGACAACATTAAGTCGAATGAAGAGCAACGGTCAGGCATGCAAAAAATTTGCAAACAAATTTATCGTATTTATGAAGTAAGCTTTAAAAAATAAAACACAAATATATTTGTTGCCACAGATTTTCTATTAATTGTTAGGTTTCATACAAATTTGACAAATTTGCATGCAAATTATTTGCCTATGCAGATAGCTTTTTTTTATTATGTATATTCGCAGTCAAGAAATTGGTTATAATGAGGCTCTACTGTAGATTGGCTCGCACACAAAGCCGACGCATAGTAATTGCCATTGTTGTTGCTGCTTGCCATTTATTTTTAGACTTTTGTCATAAAGTTTAACAAACAAATAAAAGAGGGGCAAAAAATAGCTGACAAAATTGTGCCATAAACGTATTTAGGTGCCATTTTTTAACTGCAGCGCTTCTTACTGTTGTTGTTGTTGTTGTGCTCGTTGTTGTTAGTGTTATGAGTTGTCGATCGGCGTCGTTTTACAACTGCGCAAGTCTTTAATGGGGAGCTCGTGTAACTGAAACTGCATATTTACTTTATAATGCGATAGTTGTGCAATTGTTTACCCTCATGGCAGCTCCCAGATTGGGTCTTGGGCAAGGCCTTGGGGGGAATGCGAACGAGAAGGCACAGCCCCTTATAAGGTTTTCTGTTCTAATCATTTGTTGGGCAATGAAGCTATAATTTCAGAAAGAAGGAATGCCATCTACTGTTATTTCTTCTCTTTCTTTTGTGACCATAACAACCGGTTGTTGGTTCTGCTCGCGTTCAGAAATTCTCGCCAAATAAATTCCTTTTGGGCCGAAGAATCGTCTTAGAATCTTTCTTCCAAAACCCCTCCATCTCAGCGCCGTAACAAAGCACAGACGGGATAATGGACCGGCAGTAGTTATTTAGAGAGAGGGATCTGCTCATATCTAATATCTGCTAATATCGGGTAACAAGAGTAATTCTTCAATTTTAAATAAATTTGTGCAATTTGTTATTTTGAAACCGAACTACATCTGCAATCAATCGATGTTAACTGAACCGATCTGATTATTATTTTTTCGCGCTTTTCACCAGAATAAATCCGATAAGTTAAATAAACATACAGAATTGATTGCCACATTCATTATTGAGTTTCTTTATTATTTAGAATCCACTGTCTGTTATCGATTAGAATTGATTTTTTTATTTTCTTTTTATTTAAATAAAACTAAACCAATGTGAACGCCTAGAAAGACGAGACAGCAGGGCTTATCAGTTTCAATAAAGAATTCTAACGTTGAACCAATCTTATACATTTTTGAACAATATGGAGCTTAGTTTATTTGTTGTCTTTGTATTTTAAAACAACGATGTTAATGACAATCTAAAATCGTTGTACACAGGTTCTTAGCTTAACCAATTCCTGTTTTCGCAGTAGCAATGCAAATAAATAGGAAAGTTATGTAAAATCGTCTTATTAATACTCTAAAATGCAATATAAATACTTCAAAATATGCAACTAATATTCAATAATTTATCAACATTTTGAAAGTAAAATGAAGAAAAGAAAATGCATTGTCAGATGGTTTATTAAAAAAATATATTAATGAAACGAAAAGGACGGCACTAGAATCGTGTATCTTACGGGATAGTGTTTTTACGCATATTTGCAGTTTTAGATTCTTAGGAGGAATGGTATTTGAAATTGGCTGATATTGTGAATGAGCTAAGACTTAGCTCATATGATATACTAGGAGAGCTGCGTTATCGATGTTCTGCTAGAATCTTGCTATGTTTTGGGAACGCCAGCAACGCTTTAGAGGATCATTTCGCTGCCTCTTTCAGCGGGGCAGGTACGCATGGATGTATTTCACTTTTTATAGGTTAAAAGTGCTGGACAAAGGTATAGAAGGTCTGCCTTCCTTTCTTTCCGATATTGCAATTGACAGTGTTCTATTCCTAGCCAATCTAACATCTCCCTGCCAAGGAGTTGATGGACGCTCTAAAGGATTTCATAGCTCCTGGTCCACAAAAATATTCCCCCACAGCTTTCCCTAAGGCGACTAATTCTCCCTAGAAGTTGTTTCAGAGTCGAGCAGCTTATACGACTATTTGAGTTCAGCCTGTGCTTCAGTTTCTGTCTCCAACTTCGAGCTGTCTGCGAATATATTCCACATAAGGAATTTGCATAAAAACCAATACATTTTTCAGTTTTAATCGTCGCTGTTAATTATTCGTATATTTCTGATTTGTAAAACTAATGGAAATTAGAGCTAAGCATGGTTGTCCAGATATATCATTAGTCTATAAACTAATTTAATTTTCAGTGCTGTCCCTTTCGGCGAATTTTAATTATGGCTGCTTATTATTCGCTGATAAATAATCAAATAATAATAATCAAATTCATTTCGCCAGCACTCTAAAATACTCGAGTTGTGTAAGCCGCATATCAAATTTATGCCAAAAGGCACATTTTTTAACACACACACACAAACACATAGTCGCAGAGACGCTATAAAGGCGGCAGCTGATATTGTTGTTGTTTTTGTTGCTGCTGCTTCGCTGCGGCTTCGATTGCTTGTTTACAACTTGCACCTCGCTTTTCAACATGTTCTTTATCGGCAAACACGCCACTCGGCTGGCCAGTTCGCCACAACTTTTGGCCACTCAATGCCATTAACAGGCAGAGACAGTGAGAGAGAGGGGAGAGAGTGAGAGAGAGACAACGAAGCAGTTGTTGTCAATTAAGAGAGTGGGGGTCGCGCACTAAACAAAATGTCAACTCTGTGGAATGCGGCGAGCATCAGTTAAAGAGAAATTGGCATTGGGGAGAGACGAGTTAAAGAGGGCACATCAACACAAATGCTGCTTACGTTACGTGCACGTAATACTCACTATTGTCTGGGACAGAGTAGAGCATTGAAACAGCTGTTGTTATTGTGGAAGAATTAATATTGTTTGTTATTTATGTTTCTCAATGAAACGAATGACAATCGGAAATTTCCATGCTCTCTAGCATTGAACTTGATGATGAAGCGACAATAAATGTAATATGTATACATATGTGTATGTACGTGTATTAAATCAGATTGATTTAAAATTGATTAAATTTTTGTGAAGTTTGAAAAGTTTCCAGCTCCTTTCTGTTTAATTAACTGGCACGCATTTTGTGATAAATGGGGTTTTTTAAAAGTGCAACGATAACAAAAAAATATCGATAGTTATGGCAAATAACACGCCGCTAGAATTTTAGCTTTTGCTGAAAAAGCTTTTGAATGTGACAAGCTTTTTAGCATTGCGGTTTTTGTTGTCAAGCAAAAGCTTTTTAATATTCTAATGCAGGCAGCCGCAACAGGTGGACAGCCAATTTCTGCTAATGGAGAGAGAAATAAATGTAATTAATTACAATTAAAAACTATAATTTATAAAATTTGTATAATAACATGAAATATTAGAAATAAATGCAGTTTGCTGCTATGAATAAACTAATTATGGCTATAAAAGATAAGTAGTAGTGAGGGGTATTGATAAGTATTGTTATATATATTTTGTTAATGAGTTCATCATAATTTATGGGTCTTTATGTGATGTAATTAAGTCTGTTGTAGCGTCCAAACATATGATTGTTATTGTTTAGATTTACAAAATTCCGCACGATTACGATCCAGATTCCATATCTTGACAGTAACCTTCCACTGCCTAGTGTAGGACATCGATATTGTAATTATTAATTATTATAAAAAATAAAAATCTTTAAGAATTTTCAGGCTGTTGATAAGTTGGAAGTAAAGGAAGTTACTTTACTCATCGATTTGTAAAAAATGGAAAGTTCAATAAATATATAATTGCTAAAAGATACAAAAGATAATCACACATAAAAATTCAAATAAAAAACTGAACATTAGGAGGGTTGCTTGCTCGTCATAATCTTATTAGATGAGCTCAATGGACAGCTTGTGGAACTAACTGCACCTACATATATAAGTAGTATTTCCCCTAAACTCTTCATTCCATCTGCTCCCGCCGATCTGGTCTCCACATTTTGTATAATAAAGTTGTCCCATTTCGTAATACTATCGCTTAACCACCTGCTGCGTAACAAGTCAAAGAATATAAGTATAAACTAACTGCAATTCTTTTGCAATCGCATGCATAATGAATGGAAACGACTTTTATCTGAACGATTAGCATGCATTTCCGCTATCTGCTCGTTAAGTCAACAA